ATCTCGGAAAGAATTTTATGATCGCATTACTTACGTATTGAAAGTAATCAATGATGCTTTGCTTGTCATTTTCTCAATTTCATGAATTATTGGATATTAATGGCAGAACAGAAGTGGCACTAATTATGAAATTATAATGATGATATTAGAAGCTCGGCCGTATTTGTTTGATGATGAGGCTTATATATGATTGTGAATTTTGTTGGATCTCAAATGGTTGTTTAAAGGCGTTGAAATACGATCAATCTGAAAAAGAAGATCGTCTCGAGAAGGCTGAATGGAGTAAAGAAGAGGGTAATAAGCACTTCAGGTTTAAGAAATACCGATGGGCTATTGATTGTTATACGAACGGTTGGTTAATATCTTTTGATGGGTACGTCATATTCTTTAAAATTATATTTAGCGATAACTCGTGCAGATTACGTTTATTGATATTGAACGGTTGAAGATTGTTCTAGTTAATTGAAGTGATATTCGGCTGTTTTACGCATATATTCCGTGAATTGAACGTTTCTTATTGTAATGCAATTTGTCGGATATTCATAAGAATTCATTCATTTATTAGCCTATTCATAGAATTTTGTTTGGTGCCAATTTTGGTGTCACTTAATCGAAAGCAGGAATTCGGCCTCGGTAAGTGCCATCCATGGCTAAAGCAGAACGATTTGAAGGACATTTCAATGAGTGAAATAACTGATTTTAGGGATCAAAGAAATGTCGAGTGATCGCAATATAAATTCAATTCTATTTGGTAATCGAGCTGCGGCAAATGTCCATCTTGGTAATTTGCGTTCAGCCGCACGTGACTGCGTATTCGCTCGACGTTTTGACCCTACTAACTTGAAGGTTTCGGTTTTGTGCAATCAAAAACACGCATTACGGAATTCATTTACCGATAAATTTTGAACAGACGAATGAAAGTGGTAATAACAGTACAGTTATACCGCCAGTTATTGTGATTTGTTACTGCGAACTTTTCGAGTTACTTTATTCGTTTACCGGATCGAATATTATTGAATTAGGTGATTATACGATGCGCTGAATGTCTCATCAAAATGGGATATGGAAAACAGTGTATCGATTGGATCGATAGCAGTAAAACTCTTCTCGATGAGACATTAGAGGAGTCTATTCAAAAAGATGATGAAAAAGGTATTGAATTTTTGAATCGCTTTTTCTTGAATTATGATTTGTTATAAATAAAGCGTGTCCTTGTTAAATTGTGGAAACCTATATGTCACAGTTCATCATTTTATTTTTGCTGTCGATATTTCATACGCCATTTTGCATACTTCCTTACTGTCCACGTTCTTTCATATGATTGTTGTTAATAAACTTTATTAAATATAGTCTCATGTGTAATAAGTTGTGGTATTTAGGTATTATAGGATCTTGAATGGTGTAATAAGTGTGTTTAAATTTTAGGTAAGAAAGCAGCAGA